TTATTCAGTGAATCTCTTGAGCACTGACCACATTGTAAGTGAACCCCGGAGACCTAGATGAGTCGAATCAGACCCAATCAGTGAGGGGCTTCCTGTTCAGAGGCGGTGGGCGGGGCTACGTGAACTGAGCGATATTCCTGGACACTGTCCCAAGGGAAGAACTGAGGTTGCCCTGAGCGGTGGCAGACCCGCCTCGACAGCAGCAGGAAGGGATGCTGGGGGTGCCGGGCAGCAGAGAAGCCTGGATGCAACCCCCATTGACAGGCGGGAGGATTGGTGCCAGGCCGGCCTTCGGGGAGCTGGGGGAGGGCGTGAAGAGGAGGGGGAGCTGGGCTGAGATCAGCCTCCAGGGTGCCGATGGAGGGGGTGGTGGTGGAGTCGGGGGGCGGGGGGCAAGGCAGAGGCAGGTCATGGAGCCGCTGGCCCAGGAAAGATGGTGATCACGGTGGCGGAGGGACTCTGGCACATTGTGTGGCTTTCTGCACTTGGGCCGGAGGTCTCTGGCCTCTCCTTGGTGCTTGCCCTCCTTGCTGGCTCCCTGGCTGCGATGCCCCTCCCAACAGCCCCTCCCCAGATCCCGTTTCCGCCAGCTCCCCGCTCCGGTCTTCCCCAGAGCTCCCTTTCTCCTCCTGCTCTGACAGCTTCTTCACACGGATGACAGCAAAAAGGTGTTCAGCGGATAAAGAATAAGCCACATTACAGACCCCCAGGTTGGCAAAGACCGAAGACTCCAACCACAGCGAGTCGGGGCCAGGTCGGGTCTCCACCACCTGGTATGGGGGTCCTTCGGTACTTCAGCTCGCCCAAACCTTTACTTCCTCATCTGGGAAATGGAAACAATAACTGGTACTGATGTCTTTGAGTGCAGGGCCGTGAGACAGAGGCAGTTCTGGAGGTGGGGAGGAGGGAGGCGAAACCCTAACCTTTGAGAAAAGGCAGGTCAGGTCCTGCACGTTATTAAAGCTAACAGTGTTTGAGAGCCGACAGGCCAAGTGTCAGACAAAGTGGCTTATTCCTAGAAAACGAGTATTAAAAGTTTCCTAATTAAGGTCTGTGTAGGCAAGGCCTCCTTCTGGGCCATTCCATCTGCCTGGGTGGGAGGAATATCTAGGCACAGCCCTTCTATGGGGGAACTTGGGTCACATATTTGTGGGGGTGGGGTGGGGTGCAGATAAGGGCACCATCCACCAGCAGGGCAGGAAACATCACCATACCCCGCCTCCCCCTCCCATACAGTTCCCCAGGGGCTCCGCCTGCCCCGGGGTGGGGGTACAGGAGTGGGCTGGCTGAGTGGGCGAGGCCAGACCTCTCCTCTGCCCTGTGGCAGCAGCAGCAGCAAGGGCAGGGGCGGGCTGGCAGGTGGCTGTTCCTTGAGCCACGGCTCAAGGTCATTCTTCTTAGGGTGACGCAGGAAAGACGCCTCCATGGCTGACAGGTGGTTTGGTCGTGGATGTGCAATGAGAGGGAGAGAAAGCTTACTCCTCTAACTGTATGCAGCACCGTAAGTGAGTTTTGCATCCTAAGAACCAGGAGGACCGGCTCATTCCAAGAGCACTTGGTTCGCTGGAAAATCTAGTACGGTGAAATATACGAAAGCAGGCGTTTTGCTTCTTGTTCGGTCCTGCACCTCCGTTTCTGTTGCTTCTTCAACATTTAGCTAAACGCTTTCCAGAACTGAGCAATGAACAATCTGTGGACATTAAAGAATGCAACACGATTCACAAAACTGTTTGAGGTAAACAACTTTAAGTAAAATAGATGATTTAAATGGATTTCCCCCCTAAAATTGCTTTCTATATATTAAAAAAAATCCCCAAACCATAAAAACTCATAAAAAGAGAAGGTTCAAAGAAATTATCTTACAGGTTTTAAATCTGTAACCTCAGTAATGTGCAAATTCAAAGGCATCATTCCAAGTGCTTAATGTACCCTCCCCCCATCCCCAGAATCTTTGTTGCTGTGAAAGGTACATTTCTCCTCCTTCCAGTCACCAGGGCTCACATCTTTCACCTGCTTCTAAGCCCCTCTCAACTCTACTTGACCCTGAAATCTGTGATTTGACCTTTGCACTGGGTGTCTGTGGTCGGTGCCCAGCCAGGGCCCAAGGTCAGCCCTCTTGCAGAGCTGCTGTGCAGGGCCAGCCGCTTTCTCAGCATTTCTGCACCGCCCCCCCCCCCCCCCCCCCCCCCCCCCCCCCCCCCCCCGCCAACAGGACAGCATGGTGGCTTCCTGGCTGGCTTGCTCAGGGCCTAGTTTCTCAACCTGGACGCCCTGGCCTTGGCTCAGACATGGAGCTAACAGGCCCACTGAGGCAACCGGGACCTGCTGCGACCCAGGCTGCCACCTGAGTCTTTAGTAGAAGACTTAGGTGGCATTTGAATTTACTGGGAGTATCAGGCCACCTGTCCGGCAGGAATTTTATCTTAGTGACTGGAATGATGGGCTGTTTAACATCCCTGCTGCTGAATGTGCAAAAAGCCTTTTAAACCAATCTGTAGGTCCATTCTTGCTAAGGAAAAAGTGTTGTTGTTGTTTTTCTTCGGGGGGGGGGTCTGTTTTGGTGTTTATTCTTATCCAAGTTAAACGTGAATATAGTTTTAAACTATCAAATAGATCTGTAAGGTTTGTTACAACAAAACAAAAACAGTTCCCCATCTCTCTCCGTCCATTTTCCCATCTCGGAAGCAGCCACCTTCCCCTCTTGGCTTTTTATGTTGACATTTACCACATTTCTCAATCACTTCTTCATTTTTCAATTTTAAGCTCTACAGGCGTATTCTATTGATATTCTGTTCTCAGCATCTATGGTGGTGTAACACCCATCCCCAAACTACTTTAAACAGCATTTATTTGATCACAGATCTGCAATCTGGGCAGGGCCTGGAGGGGACAGTGGGTACCTGGTCTCTGGGACCTCAGCTGGGGTGACGGGATGGGATGTGTGGGATTCACCTCCAAGGTGGCTCCCTCCTATGGCTGATTAACCAGCTCATTCCCACGAGGGCTGCTTGAGCTTCCCACAACATGGCAGCCGGGTTCCAGAAGAACAGGACTAGAAGCTGACAGCTCCCTGAGGCATGGGCCTCGAGGTGGGCACAGGGTCATTCCTGCCACATTTCTGCATATCAGCAGCTGCTGAGCCTATCCAGATTTAAGGGGGAGGCACACAGACGCCATTTGTATTCACTTGTTTATTTAGCAGCTTCACTGAGGTATAATTGACAAATAGGAATTGTATACATTTGAGATGTACAACTTGATGTTTTGATAATATGTATACAAGGTGAAATGACCACCACGATCAAGTTCATTAACATATCTATCACCTCATAGTGATCATTTTCTCTCTGTGGCGAGAACACTGAAGATCTACCCTCTTAGCAGCTTCCGAGCACACTACACGGCACTGTTAACTGTATCACCATGCTGTACATGAGGTCCCGGGAACTTGTTTATCTTACAACTGAGACTTTGCACCCTTGGACCAACATCTCCCCATTCTTCCTCCCTGCCCTGGCTGGCCCTGGAAACCAGTGTTCTGCTCTGCTTTTACAAATTTGATGATTTTAGACTCCACATAGAAGTGAGAACACGTATTTGTCTCGTGCCTGGCACATTTCACTAGGCATGATGTCACCCAGATTCACCCATGTCACAGCTGGCAGGATGTCCTCTCTCATGGCTGAATAGTATTCCACGGCATGTGTGCAACACATCTTTATCCATTCCTGTGCTGGCGGACACGTACGGTGCTTCTGTCTCGGCTGCTGTGCGGACGCTGCTTCCCACCCTTCGCGCGTCCCAACGCACTGTATGACTCCGCCGCCTGCTCTCAACTCCCAGCAGCAGCAGCAGCAGCAGCACTTGAGTCTCTCTGGTCCCCAGAAGGAATGCAACCTCTGGCTTCCGCTGTCCCCACCCCTCCTCTGCCCCACGCCCCCAGGGCGCTCCTCCCTGCCACCTCTGTTGGAGCCCATGGTTGCCCCTGATTCCGGCACCTGCCAGCGCCAGCTCTGTCCCGGTATCTGGGCTTTGCTCCCTCTCAGGCCTTCACCGCGCCTGGGTTATCACAGCCCCTCCAACCTGGCCTCCTGCTTCCCATCCTGCGGCCCGTCACTCTGTGCTTGCGGCAGCTGCAGTGGGCATCTGGTGCCACGTCTCCCCAGTGATGTAACCTCTTCCTGGGACCCGCTCCCCAGCTTCCTGTTCATCCCTACCAACTGCCAGGGACGCCAGGAGCTCTGAGCTCTGTACCATGACAGACGTGACAGACGGCTCCCTGAAGGGCCTGGGGTGGGCAGCAATGGGGCCGATCCCATTCTTTCCTGGGGTCTCTCTAACTGGGGAGAGGGTGTCAGTTTCTCTCCAAGAGGGTGGGCTGCAAGATACAGAAGCTCATGCTTCCAAAAGGTCACGGTGGAGGAAGTGATTTACACCGGGAAGAAAGGAAGCGGCAACAGAGAAGGCAGACAAAGGCACCCAAGGTGACCTGGAGGCGTGATGCAACCCTGCCTCCCCCACGGTGGGCTTTTCCCGCCCTCCTCTGCTAGTTCACATCCAATCTTCCTACCAGTTCCCTTCCTCCCAGAGCCACTCTGCTGTTGGGTTTCTTTTCCTTTGTTAATCAAGAGACAGGAGCCTCCCTGAAGCCTCAAGGACCCCTCTCTCTCTGGCTCCTCCCTCCCAGTCTCCTTGCGCCAACCCTGGATTTTCAGTGCTGAGCCCCCCCAGCTTCCAGTTGGGGCTGCGTGCCGAGGACTTCCCGCCAGAGCGCCACTGTCCAGCACTTCAGGGCCCAGCACGACATTCCCGCCTCTACCTACGGCCGGCCGCTACCCCTACTGCTGCGCCCCACACCCTCCAGCCCTGGCCCCAGGCTCTGTACTGATGCCTCTCCCCCACCCCAGCTCTGTTCTCAGCAGAGAAGCTGGTTTGTGCCCCTTATCCTCCCCCCACCCTCCATCCCCCACCACGAGGAAAGTCCTCACTGTCCCAGCTCGCTGGCTCTCCTGCGCTCCGGCCTCCCACTCCCTCCCAGATGGCCCTGGACCTCAGGGTCTGCACCTGCAAACAGCCAGCAGGCTGCTCCCTGAGGCTCTGCCCACACTCGCCCTCCCTTCCCTGCTTTACCTTCATGGCGTCACCACCACCTGGCGCGCTAGTGACACGAGTCCTCTTCGGACGGCAGCCCCGAGACCACATGGCTGACTGAGTGAAGGCACAGAGGCCCTTTCGTGGCACAGCTGTGGTCAGAACCCCTCAGGGGCCCCACGTGGCCCTCAGATGGGTGCAGCCTCCCTGGCCAGCTCGAGGGCCATGCAGTCTCCTGTCCCAGCATCTTCCTGCACATCCTCTCAGCGCTCTCCGATCCTAATGACCTTGACCTTCACAGCTCAAGGTTAAGTCAGATACCTTCAAGTCTCAGTTTCTTCACCCGTGTGGGGCCCACGTGTTGTCTTCTGGCTACTGTCCCCTCGTGGCTGGGAATACGCTCTCCAGCCTCGGAACTCTGCTAGAACCTTGTGCCCCAGGGACATTATTTGCATTACGTCTCCGTCCATGTGGTGACCGAGGTGGTCCTGGGAGCAGGACAGGCCTGAGCTGGCATGCAGGGGCTCTGGAGCAGCCCACGGGGTGAGCGAGTCTTCCTTTCTGATGAGGTTTGTGCCTGGTCATCTTGTTGTCAACAGCTCCATCACGTGGGGACGCGGAAGGGGTGGCCCCCTCTGTGGACTTCGGCCAGGGCCCTGTGGACTGGGGGAGGGGATGAGATGGACTCCAGTGACTTGGGGAGGGTGCCGGGCCGCCTCCTCTGGGCCCACGGGCACCACAGTGGGGGTGTAGCGGCCGGCAGGTGCCTGAGGCCTGGTCCTGGCCGGAGACCTGCTTCCTTGCTGGGTACAGTTCCCACTTCTGTCAAATGGAGTGGGGGTGGGCTGGGGCTGCAGTGGCCCCCATGGCTCTAGGGTGCATCAGGGCGAGACCCGCCTCTGCCTCCCACGCGAGTCCTGGGAGCCAAGATCTTCCTTGCTGACCAACCCGGCTATGCTCCTCCAGGGCTGAGGGGGAGGCGCACTGGAGCCACGGGAGGGGGATCCGGCCTGAGTCCAAGCTGCTTGACTGCCCTGACACACCGCTTCCGGAGGGGTGCCACTCCCTGGGGCTCTGCCCTGCTCCCAGCTCCCAGGCTCCATGGCTGGCCGGGGACAGCACCAGGGGAGAATGGAGCTGCTCCTCCTCAGCCGAGGGGAGGGGGACTTGGGCTCTGTCCGGGTGCCCAGGACAGGAAACATCCAGAAATCTCCTCATCCAAATGCCAAACCACCAGACCCTCACCTATCTTCCCTTCCAGATACTTGGTTGCCGGAGAAGATTCTGGGGACAGGAACAGAGAGTGGGTGGTGGCCTCCGGGACACCGGGAAGGCTGGCTAGGGTGCTGGAGGAGGAATAAAGGAACTGAACGGTGTCCTTCATTCCCCTCTGACACCCCGCCCAGTGCTGGACGCAGGAGGGGCCGTGGCCTGCTGGCGGACAAAGGCAGCGGCACCAAGGGCCCTCCAGTTCCCGCCAGGCCCTCTACAGGCTGTTGTATTGAATTCCGCTTTGAAGAAAATTCATTGCCACCAGAGCTAATGGGCTTGACGCTGACACCAGAGGGAACGGCATGGTGGACCCAGGACCCGGGCACCGTGGTTTTCACCTCCGTTCCTGGCGGCTCCCGGGGAAGCCGACCTGTGGGTCCCTAGTTAGGTGGGAAAGGAGTGCGGGCCGGGGGCAGCCAGCTGGGGAGACAGCACTGCCCAGTGGCCCTCCACCTCTGTCCCTGGGTCCCCGAGGATGATGCCACTGGTGGGTGCTCAGGACGATGCCGGGCAGGTGACTAGGCCAGGATGGAGGCACCAGGCATCCGTTTCCCAGCCCTGGTGGGGAAGGCCAGTCTGAGGGCTCCCCTCCCCTCTGGCAGGCCGGGGCCCCTCAGTCCCCCTGACCCCTCAGCGCTGCTGGGGTTTGGGACTGGCCCTGGAGGTACTGAGGGGCCAGCCTGAACCAAGGGGGTATGGATGGGGCTACTCAGAGCTCTGGCCTAGGGTCTGGGCGGGGGATTATAGGGCCCATGCGCCCCACCCTGAGGCCAGCAGGCAGAGGAAGTGGTGGGGGCAGGGACGGACACAGCCACTAGCGGCAGGGTTGATAGCTGAGCTTGCTGTCTTGCATACTAATTACGTTTCTAATCAGCCAGAATGAGGCCCTGGCATCAGCAGGACATGTGGCCAGCTCTGTGAATCATCCTGGAACTGACAGAAGGTTCCGGAGGGTGGCGACCTCAGCTCGGCTGTGAGGGGTGGAGCCTGAGCCAGGTCCCTTGTCCTGGGCCCAAGGGGCACCCTGCTGCCCTGGTCTCCTGGTGGTGCCCCACACACCAGACAGCAATTCACTTGATTTTATTCCATGACACTGATTTGCTGAACCCCCCCGGCTTCCTGGGCAGGGGAAGGCAGTGGGTGGCCTGGCAGAAGAGGGGCTGGCCTCCCAGGAGGACCGGGTCCTGCTCTGCTCTGGGTAAGCACCAGCGAGGCCTCAGCCTTCCGTCCAGCCCCACCATCTCCTCTCCAGTTCATTTAAAAACTGAGCTGCCAAAATAAAACAAAATGAAGAAATAAAAACAAAAACCCTGAGTTGTTAAAAACCAAATTAAAAATCCCCTTTGGTGTCAAAAGGTCCTATTCCTAAAAGCCAGCGGGTGGGACAGTTGTGTGCGTGGGGTGTGGCGGGGCTGGGGGCCACCGTCTGTCAGGCTTCCTCCTCATCCTGCGGGCCCGGCCGCTTCAGGAGGGCGCTGTACTTGAGGGCCGTGGTCTCCGCCTGCAGCACCACCTCCACCAGGCTGAAGACGCTGATGACCTGCAGCGGAGCAGAGCCCAGTGTGGTGACCCGAACGGGCCGTGAGGGGCCAGGGGGGCCCCGGGGGACAGGCGGGGCAAGGCGCTGTTCATCTAGCTGGGCCCCAGGACCGCTCGCCCTGCCCCTCTAGGCCTCTGTCTGCCCATCTGTGAGCTGAGCCTGCTCAGGGACTGACCCAAAAGTGAACACCCTGCTTTAGAGGGATAGGCAGGGCCCTCCCCTCTCCCCTCAGTGGGTCCCCAAGGCAGGGAAGGCAGTGCCAGAAAGCTGTGGCCCAGAGGAGGTAACGTGGGTGAGCTGTGCGGTCTCGCAGGGAGAAGCTGAAACCCCACGGGGAGCTTGAGCGCTTGAGGGCAGGGGTGGGGATGCAGGAGGGACGGGTGGGGCAGGCAGGGCAGGGGTGCCCCAAGAGGCTGAGCTGAGGGGTGGGCGGGCCCGCAGCAGTGTTCTGGAAAAGCCGGCCCACCCCAGGTGCTGACCTGCTTCACTGGCTCCTGCTCCAGGTCCTGAGGCTCCCAGACAAGCGTGAGCTCCGGCTTCTTGCCCACCCTTTGGAAGTGGTGGGACCGCAGGGGCAGTGCCTGGGGGTACACACACCTGTGTTGTGGGGTGCAAGCTCTGTGTGCCACCTCCTAACCTTTGACCCCGAAAGGCTCTCCACTGCCTGGAGGCAGCTCCTCGCCTACGCCTGCCTTTGGCCTTTGAAGGAGCTCCTTGCCCCCACTCCCCGCAGCTGGTGGCTTGACCTTTGACTACTGACCACCCCCCTCACCTTGGCCTCTTGCTTCTGGCCGGCTTTCGGGAGGCCCTGCCAGGCCATCTTCTATTAAGGCAGGATTTGCAGGTGACGGAGTGCTGAGTGGCAGGGGCTGTCTACTTGAGGCCCAAGGGGGACCGGGGAACCCAAGGCTAGAGGGGTGCTGCCCCCTGGGGGTGCTGGGTCTGTTAACACAGGCTGAGGGCTGGGTTGTCTGCAGACCAAATCTGTCTGATGACCTAGACCTGAACTCTTGTCTTGCTCAATGAACTTCAGGGCAAAAGCCCTGATTGATTCCAGCTGGACTCCATTCCGTCTCTTCCACTTTGCTCCATAATGTATTAATTCCATGCTTATTCTACTTGATGTGCAGGGCTCTGCACTCCCCAAAGTGTTCTGGATGTCAGGAAAGTCAAAGCCAGGGGCAGGGGCCAGGCAGTGACCTGCTAACCACAAGGTCAGCTGAACCAGGTTCCTCAGATGGTGTCAGCACAGGCACCAAGTACCCTTGGAAAGAACCCTGAATAAGTCATCACACAGGGCAGGGCCCAAGGCAAGGGCTGGCCTCTTCCAGAGTAGCCATGGCCCCACTCTCTCATCTTTCCTTCCTTCACATTCCTGTAAGGAAATCCACCGCCCAAGCATGTGTACTCTGCTGCCCTGCACCCAACAGGGAGGGGCCCGTTCTCTGGTGGCCTGGTCCTTGGGGAAGAGGCCCAAGTCTGACTCTGGGCAGGCGGTCTGAGGCAGTCCCTCATCGCAGGCGGGTGCGGCTGGGTGCCTGGGCGTGGCTCATCAAGTGCGCTCACTTGGCACCGGCACCGGGTGGCGGCAGCTGGCAGGGGGTGTATATGCTCTGCCACCGCACGGTGAGTGTGGTGTGTTCTCCAGTGCACACGAGGACAGCAAGGGCCCTGGCCCATCCTCCACGCTTGTGTGTCTATCGGGGCTGTCCCTGGGCCAGGAACCCTTGCCAGATACCAGGGAAATATGGAGGTGACCCCAGCAGAGGGATGGGGGACAAGCAGGTGAAAACAGTGTGCAGCTCGGTGTAAATGTGAGGGGAGGGAGGGCTTTCAACAGAAGCCACGAGGTGCTGGCTCCCAGGTCACAGTGGACGTGCCTCAGTGCCGCAGAGCTGGCCTCTGCCTGCCCGGAAGGCCCCTCACCCTGGCCTGGGTGGCCGCGGGTACTCACGTTACAGTAGATACGCTTCTGCACCCCGTAGCGCAGCACCAGCACGTCGAAGGCTTGGTTCAGGACGCCTAGCACCATGGCTTCTGACTCCAGGGGGCCGCTTTCCTGCACGACAGGGCTCTAGCCAAGGCCTGGCCACGGGACATGGTATCACCCCGGGGGGGGGGCACCCCAGCTGCCGAAGGCCCCTGAGCTCCTTAAGGGCTCCTTGTGAACAGGTGCCCAGGAGGAGGGCTGGGGGGAGGCGGGGGAGGGAGTGTCAGGCCGGCGGCCTCACCTTCACGAGGATGGCAAAGAAGAGGCCGGTGCTGAGCTCCTGAACGCGCTTGGACGCCATGCGGCGGTCGTTGCAGTGGTCGGCCTGCTTTTGCAGGGCGTCGGGTTCCAGGTCCGGCAGCTCCCTGTAGCCTGGGAAGAGGGTGGGCGTGGTGTGTGTGCCTGCCACAGCTGGGTGACAGGCAGCACGATGCTCCCGGCCCAGGCAAGGTGGGGCCTTCCTGCTGCCCAGCTCCGGAGGGCTGAGAAGGTGGGCAGCCACGCTTAGGGCCCTCGAGCCCCGGCTTTTGTATAGGATTCTAATGAGCCCCCTGCAGCCGCCCCCAGCATGCTCACGGAGGTGGTGTTTCCAGGCCCAGGCTCCCCGGCTGCTCCAGCCGTCTGCCCCTTGGAGCCTGTACGTAGAGCCATGCAGCGTGGCCTCTGGCTGCTGGGGACTCACTCGGGGGCACAAGCCCTCACGACCCCCAGTGCTGCGTCTTACCGAGAGTGGCGGCCAGGAGGCGGTGCACCACCACGTCCGCAAAGCGGCGGATGGGGGACGTGAAGTGGGTGTAGAGCGGCACGTTGAGAGCGTAGTGCCGGAACTGAGCCCGGTCCTGCAGCACCCCCGAGCAGAAGTACAGTGCCATCTGGGGGGTGGGGGGGCGAGACTTAGACCCTGGCCAGGCCGGGTCAGGGCTGGGTTTGCCCTGCAAGGCCGTCACGTTCAGAGCCTCACAATGGGCTGTTTCAGAGTAGACAGCCTGCTAGGCTGCAGGTGGCCGACCACAGGCCCAAGGAGGCCAGCGGCCATTCTCTGTAAGGGGACTGATGTGGATGCCGCGAGGCTGTGCAGAGCCACGGGGTGCCCAGGCCCCTCTCCTGCTGAAGACGAATGTGGGGCTTGCCCTGCATTGCCCGGACCCCTCGGGGTGGCAGCGCACAGAACAGGCCAAAGAGCACCATGAGGGGCCCACCCCGCCTCTGTGGGGCCAAGGGGGAGGCTGGGAAACCTCAGGATGCTAGATGGCCCCTTCCCTCGGAGCCCTGTGGGACGGGCCACCCAGGCACTGGGGAGGGTGGCCCACCTGCTGAAGTCTGAGGGCAGCTTGGGAGGATCTCCTCCCCCTCGGCCGTTGCTGGGTTTTAGGGGCTGTTACCGCCAGCAACAAGAGGGGAGCTGTTTCTGAGGTGCCCCACCGCGGGATGGGAACAGGCAGCTACCGTGGAACAGGGAGAAGGGGAGGCCTGTGGCCATGCTGGGCAAGGGGCCACAGATGTCCCGTGGAGCCACCAGCAGATGCTAGGCAAGCTGCAGGGCTCTGCAAGGACACGCAGCCCACTTCCCCCCCCCCCCCCGACCTGGGTGGAACAGGAAGTAGGAGAGAAGGCCCGGGACACTACTCCCCGCATAGAGTGAAATGGGCTGTGGGCGCCTGGCTCCTCCTCTGTGGCCCAGGCCTAGTCTTTGGCTGTGACAGACCTCAGGCCCCTTAGCCCCGATCCCTGTCCTGCTAGAAGTGATGCTTGCACCCTGGCACCTCCGTGCCCCCCATACTCAACCCTGCACCAGCCAAGGGAGGGAGAGGTTTGCCAGCCGCCAGCCTCAGCCCTTCTTATCCCTGACAGGCTGTCCTGGTGCCAAGACTCAGAAGTCTGAGTTCAAAAGGCCCTCTTGCGGGGGGGCGGGGGGGGTGATGACTGGGGTGCCTGAAGAGAGGCCGAGTTTCTTGAGGGGCCCAGCCAACAGCTCCAGGCCCATAGGGGCTCTGCCCCCTGGGAGCTCTGGCCACAGTCCCTGCAGCTGCTTGCCCGGTGGTCCCCGAGCTCCTGGGGCTGGGAATCAAGGACGCCGCTGCTGCCTGGGAGCAAGAGAACAGGCTCCGCATCCAGGGCCAAAGTCACACCCTTGTGTGTTCACTCGCTTGCTCCCTGTTCACATGCACCCGCCCGCGTGCTCGGCCAAATGGCAGCGGAACCAGTTACTCTGTTGCGTTGGCTCTGGAGTTCAGGGCCCAGCTGGTGATAACCTGCTCAGCTCCCTGAGTCCTTTTCCCCTCCAGCTCCTGCTGGGGCCTGGGTTATGTTCAGGGCAAGGCCCCGGGGGAGGTGGGAGCAACCTCCACTCCGAGCCATGTCTGGGCGTTGTTCTCGGCGGCGGCCCAGATGACCTGGGGAAAGGAGGGCTCCTTTCCGTGGAGCTCCAAGGCTAGTTTGACCTTGGAGGTGGATGCCTTCCAGAGGCTGGGGGCAGGAACGGGAGCCCAATTAGCTGTCATGGCACAGTCGAGACAGGTAGATCTTGGGACCTGGGGGCTACCGTATCTCAGAGTAACTGGAGGGCAGAGTGACATCGAGCCCCTCAGCCACAGGCGCACCTGCCCCTCTGCGTGGCTTTAAGGGGCTTGGTGGGGGCAGACACTTGTGACTGGGGGGCAGGGGAAAGGCAGCCAGGCCCACACAGGGCCGGATGACTCCATTCCTGGCAGAAAATATGACTGTCAGAAAATAAATCGGCTGTGGCCAAGCTGAGGTGACCTGGTTCTTGCAAACAGATTGAATCTGCAGTGACTGAGCCCCTGAAAAATGGTTTGTCACTGCCCCTCGGCCAGATGGGGGCCCCGAGCTGGCACCATTTGTATCTGTGGGTCCCACTGACCTGACAGGTTGGTGTGGTGGCTCCTTCCCAAGACGCTTGCATCTGCCACAGGGACAGAGCAAGCTCACTATCTACCTCCCAGGCTGCCAACTGTCACACCGCCTGCAGACACAGGCCCACGGCCTCAATCCTCCTCCACTAGCTGGTGAGAGGGAGACAATTCTGCCTGGGGTCCAGAAGCCACGGTGGGATGCTGCAGGAGCCAGTCACTCCCCTCCAGGGTGCCCGCCCAACTGAGCTGCTGATTCCCTTCCCCAAGCTGGTCTGCTCTGCGGCAACTGGGCACTGAAGGCTTAGTGTGTGCCCTGTGGTGAGTCCCTGCCTTCTGCTAGGAAACAGAGCCCCAGATACCAAATGGGGGGACCTTGCAGCTCAAGCCAGGCCTTTAACCGGCCCATGGAAGCCGTCCTTGAGCAGATGAAGCAGACAAGTCTGTGTAGGAGGCGGATCAAGCTCAGGAGCCCAGGGCTCACCTGTCCTAGGTGCTGCCTCAGGGTCCTCCCCCCTCCCACCCTTAGTCCCTCTGTGTGTGGAGGTCATGGATGCTCCTAAGAGAGGAGGGAGGATGGGGACCAGGCCCCTCCTTACCTGCATAGGCCGGGAGCACATGTTGGTGAGCACCTCCTTCCGGGCCAGCGAGTACTTGTCATCTCCAAATGTTTTGGTCAGACTTTTCTAGAAGCAAATCCATGTGATACACAGTCAAGCCTGGGGAGGCTCTGGGGCCCCTGTCACCCTCTGACCATCTGAGACCTGGCTCTGGGGGGGAAGGGTATGCTGAGGGACTCAACCCTGCTCACATGGCCAGAGCCCCCAGCCCATGTGCTGCTCTGAGGTCAGTCCTTTCATGCCTTGTAGGCTGGATGGAGAGACTGGTTTCCAGTTGTCTGACCTAAGGCACCTCTCTGCCTACCCCAGGCTTAGAGCACAGATGGGAACAGCCTCCCTCCCGTGGGATCAGAGCTGAAGCCACGGGTTCCCGAGCCCCATAAGGCATAGCTCCTGGCAGAGAACATTGACACTACTTACCATAAAAAACATTCTCTGGCTTCCAATCAGCCCCTGACTGAAAGTTTCTGGGCCCAAGCCCTGCCCATCGCTGGCCACAGGATCCCTGCCCATTGGTAGGTGAGTGTTGACTCGCTTCCCTTGGCCTGCTTCTGGTGGGGAGCATGGCCCATGGCCTGGGCCTCTGTGACCTGGAGGCCTTCCCCCCTCGAGTCCCCCCTTCCCCTGCACTCCTGGCACTCACATTGAGGGCCCCGGCAGAGCTGAAGTCCATGGGCAGCCCCATCTGGTCACAGAATTCCATGAGGTCATTGAGCATCTTGGTCTGGGGCGGGGGGTGCCGGCGCAGCAGGGCCCGCTCAGGGAAGGCGCGGTGGGTCCTGTGGGCCACTGCCATGTTGGCCAGGAGCATGAACTCCTCCACGAGCCTGCAGTGGGGGGAACCGGCAGGGGTCAGGGGTTGTGGCTCCTCTCCTTTCCCAGGCTCTCTGTGGGTGGGCTCTCACGTACCCTTCAGTCTCAGCCTAGACACACTGACCCGCCTCCCGGTCTCGGTCCCCTGCTCAGGCCCCGCTCTGTGCAAGCCAGTCTGTACCAGTCTTCTCTACTTGTGTGTGAGGTTGTGCACCACCTCACCTATTAGACGGGGGATGGCGCTGTCTTATTCTCTGCTGTACCCCAGTGTCTGGGACCCCAGCGCCCCACGTGACCGGAAGAAGCTCTGCTGAACAACTAGCCTTCTAGAACACTCAGGGGCATCACCAGCTGGAAGGAAACAAGGAGCCCAGGTGTGCCGTGAGAACACAGAGGGCTTCCTGGGGGTGTGTGGAAGGTGGCAGCAGACCCAGGGCTCCCTTCTCCCCCTGGGGAGATGGGGGTTTCTGAGGATGAACAGGAGAGTCACAGACAGCAAGAGGGATTACCCATCCTGGGGCGAGGCGAACTTGCTGTCGAGGTGTTCAAATCCCAGAGTTAAAGTGTAATTAGAATGAACAAGTATTGACAGATATGGCTTCAAGAGACAAAGGCACACCAAGGAGCCAGGGAGGAGAGCGGGGGCTGACAGGGGCTGAAAGAGTCAGGCAACGTGGGAAGCTGGATCACACAGCCCTGAGGTCAGCACCCCCAGCACCCCCAGCTGGGGCAGGAGGCCCTATGCTGCTCCTGCACTAGGGCTCCTGTGGCATAAGATCTCTCTCTCTCTCTCTCTCTCTCTCTCTCACACACACACACACACACACACACACACACACACACACACACACGTACAAGAGCTGAAACCTCTGTAAAGGGGGCTCGGGCAAGCTGCGGCCATTGCAGCCAGGGTGTGCTGTATGGGGAAAGCCTCGCTCAGTTTAGGGAGCTCTCTCCCCGCCTTTAATCTGGGCCTCCAAGTGGCATGTCAAGCCTGTGCTCCTCCTGCGGAGGCAGAAGAGGTCAGGGAGTAAGCGAGTGCCGGTAGCCCTGGCAGCGAGCAGCCAGAGCCGGAGATGAACTTCCTCTTCCTGGAGGTGTGGGTAGTGCTTCAGGGTTAGCCTCGTCGCCTCGCCAAGCTCTTGGAAAGAGAAGCAGCCAGTGATGGGGGCCGGGGGTGGAGAATGAGCATGAGCTGACAGAGCCCCTCCTCCCAGACTGGGCCTGCCGGGGCCAAAGTGTAGCTCTGGTGTGCCAGGCTGTCCCTATCTCTCCCAGAGGCCCTCTCTACAAGGAAGAGGGGCTGTGGAAACGGCCCTCTGGCGGCGGCACCACCAGAGGGAACTGGGTCAGATCTGGGCCTTGGGAGGAGGCCCACCCAAGCCTGCAGTCCTAGCCCCTCCTCTGTGGGGAGGACTCCGGACTGGCCTGCCGTGGGGTAGGGACCCAGCTCAGGTGTAGGACTGAAGAATCAGGCCTCAGCTGGCCCTTGTACATGAAGGAAACCCTACATGTGGAATGAGGAGTTTCTACCCTACTGTGCAGTAACAGCCATTCAAGTGACCATTCTGCACCGCCCCCCCCCCCACTTGTCCTTGTGCATGTCACTTCCTGCTGAAAAACCTTTGAGGTCAGGCACCTGAACCCAACCACCATCTCCCGAGTGGAGGGATGTCTGAATCCTGGATCGATGTTCTTGTTGCAGGGAGGGCCCTGCACAACTCACAGACCTTTCCTGAGCCTCCTTTTTCTCAACTGCAGAATAGGGGTAGAAGCACCTGCTTCACACAGCGGTTGTGCCAATCAGAGGAAGTAACATGTGTCCTAAGGGCAGACCCTGGGCCTGGCACATCATCGGCCTTGAGCCACAGGGAGTGCTTTCCTCCCTCCCCACCTTCCACACCAAACGGCCTGTCTGCGGTCTGCCCTGCGAGTTTCACCCCGCCATCTGTCCCCCCTTATTTGCCTTTTCCTCACCTTCCCTGAAGGCCCAGGCTGAAGGCCTTCTCCATCATCCCCCTGGGTACCTACTGCCCACTAGCCACCTGGCAACAAGAGCCAGGCTGTTCTATGGTCCCCTGTGTCATAGTCTAGCGCTCTTTCACTCTTCGTACTTGATTTTCCTATTTGGATCTTGTCAACCCAAGAGAAGTCTCAGTTCCTGCTCAATAAATTTCTGATTTGATTTATTGTCTGTTCTTGGTCTGATACTAGGGACCATCAGCACCTAAATGCTTCAGATGCATACCTTCATTCATTCATCTGTTCACTCAGCAAACACTACCGTGTGCCAGGCGGTTCTAGACCTGCCTCCCCGTGTAGACTGAGAATCCTTGTGGGCGGGGGCACATGGCCTGTTCCCTGGAGCCCCACAGTCTCCAGCCCAGCTGCAAGTTTGGGTGAAGAGGGAACACCTCTATAACCTTGGGGCTGACCCTGGGCTGTGTTTTGCCCATGTGGCCAGCAGGGGGCAGCATGGCCCCATAGCAGGGTTTTGGTCAGGCTGCAGGCTAGGAGTGCTGAGTCCCGCAGGCAGTGGCGCTCCAGCCTGTCCCCTCCACCTGACTCCCACCTCTCGGGAACTGAATGCGTGGGGTGCCTCCACCTTGCTCCTGCTCCCACTTTCTGCAGCGGCTCTCCTGCCTCATCCTTCATGGTCTCAAGTAAGGACAAGAATACGAAGGAAGGGATAGGGAGGGTGGAGCCGATTGCCCAGAGCCCCAGGCAGTGACAAAAGAGCCAAGTCAAGCTGCTTCTCCAGCGACCCCACTGCTTGTCCTCCCTGGACACCCCCAGCACAGTCCCACGGGTCGCCTGAAGCTGGTGGGAGAAACACAAGTGTGCTCTTGTTAACCTTGAGAGAAGACAGTCTGGCAAAGCTTGAGATGCAGAGGCTGACCTTGGACAGGTCCTGTGGTCCCTCCCAGGGGCTCATTTCTCCCTGAGTGTCTCTGTCCGTCCCTCACGGCAGGGAGGCAGGAGTTAAGAGGGCAGCCCGTGGAACTCTCTCCATGACCGTTTGCTGATATCAAGCATTCATCCCAGAAACACGTCAATGTCACCAAACTGGAAGGTGGTGTAGCAGCAATAAGCCCAGACTCCCCGGGTGATGCCACGGCTCATTAGTGTTCTAGGATGGCGGCAGGGACCATTTCCTCACACCCTGTCCTCAACATCCTTCTTATACCAGCAGGTGGGGGACAGAGGGGTAGAGAGAAGATGCAAATTGCGAGGACCAGGTGGCAGAAGCGGGGCCTGGGGCACCGTGGCAGTCAAGTCCCGGGGTGGTTGGGAGGGGCACGGTGCTGCGCGAGGACGCTCCCCAGGGGAGTGTGGGAACAGGAAGGCCAAGGAAATGCGAAGTGGCCGGCAGCTGGATTCCACTGAGTTCAGAGTTTATTGTCAAAAGACGGGCCAGGGAGCAAGGAGGGAGAACTGGGCTGGCAGGTACTGGGGGTGGGCCAGGGGGCTGTCTCCGCTCTCATCTGAGGCCTGCAAAGGGTCCCCTCACTGGGCTCAACAGGTTGCCCCCTACCCCACCATGGGTCAGTTCCATGTATCGGCCAGCAGGGGGCCCCCTAGCATCTTTCTTCCACAGGACCTGGGACGTGGCAGGAGCGGCTTAGAACCCAGGAACTTCTGGGCAGCAAACAGCCTTAGTTTATAAACTGCAGTCCTGTGGCCCACGGTCCAGGGGTCTTTGGGCTCCCACTCCTCAGCCAAGGGGGCTGAAGGCTTGTGCTCTGAGGGAAGGCAGGGAGATCAGAAGAGGAACGTGGACAGCTGGCCTGTCAGCAAGCATCCCTTCCCCCTGATCTCCTTCCCCCGTCGGGGGCCAGTGCTGCATGTCCATGCCCAGCAGGCAGAGCTGTTCCGGGTGGTCAAGATGTGCCCCTGCGAGCAAACGCCACACTCCGCTGGAGTCTGGGAGGTGGGGAGGGAGGCCTGCATGCCGCCGGGGCCTCAGGCTCTGCTTCCGGACCTGGGTACCTGCCCTGGTCAGAGCCCATCCCCCCTCCTGCTCCAGTTCGGCACAGGCATGAGAGCTGGGCGGCGGGCAGGGGAGGGGGCTGGAAGTCAGCAACTTCCTGGCAGCTGCTCTAAATGGGGGCTCAGGAATGGCCACCAGCCAGGATTGCCTTCCAGAACAGCAAGCCAAGCCCTTGGAGATGGGGCCTCGGTTCCAGTCCTGGCATCTGCTGAGCACGCGGAGCCCAGGACCACCGGGGGCCCGCAGCTCTGGAGGGCTCGAGGGGGGTCTGTGACGGCCAGCTGGGGGCCGCGCCAGGATGCAGCTCATCGGCACTCATGCTCAGGACCCCACCTGCCTGTGCTCTGGGCTTCCAGGTGCTGGGCGTGGGGCAGGGGGCGGGGGGAGTGGGCAGAAGGGCAGGTGAGAGGCTTCTCATCCCCATGATGATGAGCTGCTATGGAGGGCAGGAAAAGGCTATCAGCAATCTACTCACAAGTCTACACACTCCTCACACAGTGGACACCAGTGTTTCCCAAAGTGTGTTACTGTTACTTAGAGAAAGAAGTACTAATATGTAGGAAATGTGGGGGGGGGGATTGCATTTGATGTTTTTACTATGGGACGTACCTCCCTTTGCCTTTATGATGCTAATGTGCATCAGAACAACAAGGAGCTATTAGACGTAGCATTTACTGCTTACTGATGATTGAACTTGGGTCACAGCTGGAGGGATATGTCTGGGAAAGGATGCTCTACCTGGCAGCGGTCACGCAGGGGCTAGGTGAGAGATGGGCTAAACCACCTGCCCTCCCAGAGGAAGGCTGCCCGTTCCTGACCAACCAGGGACTGGACTGAACGCTCCTCTGCTCGTCCGGCTTGGCTTTGTTGCTTAGGGGGCTGGATGTGTCTGTGGCCGAGAAGCCCTGCAGGGGGACGGGGAGGGTGGCGGTGTGTGTGAGGCTCCCGCTCTTCACCCCTCCGCTGCTCACCCCGCTTCCTTCCCTGCTCCATGTGCAGAGGCCAGGCCACATGGAGAGGAGG